TGTTCATAACGATGAGTTTTTTCCTATGGTGTGACTTGAAAGTTTCAAAATATGATCTAATACCTAATATCCAGTCAACCCTCGACGATTAAAAAGAACACCCACCGAAATGACTGACAATTGATTTCAAACGCGTAGCGTAAAATTGTAAAGGCGAGGCTCACTTATTTTTTCCAACCTTCCACAAGATCACATTATAATCGGAGCTCGCACCGCGCGAATGCCATAGCCAGGAAAATCTGGTTAGGAAATCACGTACGTCCGATCATCCTCACTAGGTGCGCTATTCTTACGCCGCGGATGACTCAGCCAAACGCGCACCCACCCTCAAGATTTGCACAGAGCGGAGAAGACTGTGCCCCCAAAAGTGATTTGTTTAAATGTTCCCGCCGAAGAAGGAGCGGGGAAGGGGGAGGGGGAACAACTCTCATGCAATTTTCTTTTTCCGACCAATGCGAAAATTTTACGTCACATTCAATTTAAATTAATGAACTCTCCTCCTAGGAATGAAAAAAATATAACTCCCGGTTAGCGTGTAGAGTAGTATGTTGCTCGCACCAATCAGATCGCCACATTTGGGTCATATACAACGCACCAATCAGATTACCGCATAAGGGTATGTATCTCGCAACAATCAGATTGTCGCATTAGATTGTCCCATCTCAACCCGCCCAGCCAAAAAGAAATTCTTGCACGCTACGCATGCCTATGATTTATTTCGTGTCGGACTTCAGTCAAAAGGAGGGGTTGTTCGTAGACGAACAGTTTTTAAACAAATGAAACGTGCACCATCAGCTCCAACAAAAATATCATAACCATTAAAATTACAATTTTCTCGGTAGCGATTGGTTTAAAAACTCCTATTTTCCACGAATTCACTTGCCAAGTTGTTATCAGACAGTTTATCATTGAACAGTTCAATAAGCCAATCACATTTAAAGTTGTAATTTAAATCAACCAATCACTTTCAAAGTTATAGTTTAATTCAACCAATCACAACCTGGGTTTTAATCATCATAGGAACAATTAATGCCTCCTTTGTCAGTCTTTTAATGCAAATTTTCTCTTTTTTTCATGACTTGACTAATCTTCTTTCCTCAGAAATTGTAAATTTTATGATTAATTGGTAATTACACCGAGTGGAGTCCAATTCGGTTTGTAACCATTCCAGGGATAAAAAAAGTCAGAACATTACTTATTGTACCAATTAATTTACTGCTGTAAATTCCCAGTTCATTCCAAAATGATATTAACTCAATTTGAGAGAACTAAACCAGTCTTCCTTCTCAAACTTCACAGTTCCAAGTTTTGCTTCCGCTTTGATCGTTTTTACCCCTTCCTCCTTCTTGTCTTTTTTGTTAAGTTCTCCCGTCATGACGGTAAAGTTCCCTTCTGCACGTTCTTTATCAATGACAACGTCAATGTTTGAATCGACGTGAATATGTTTTGACCTCACCAAGAACTCTGAAGAAAACGATTCCTGCAAACACTTGACGGTAATGTCTCCTGAATTTAAGAGCAAAAATCTACATTTGGGACAAAATTGTTGACACTAACCTTTTCAACTCCTTGTTACTTCATTTGTATCTCTTTTATCATTCTTTAAATGACTGATTCTCCCCCTGTCCCCCCAAAACATTGTCACACAGTGATTAACTTGATCTTTTAGCTACCAACAGGCAACATTGATTGGAGGAGAGGGGGTTTTATCAATGATTCGTAGTGCGGTGCAAAAAGTAGTCTTCTTCAATTCCTACAATTAACTGCTCAAACACAATTTGCAAACTAATTTTGATCCTGATTGTATCTTCAGCTTAAGAACTCTTTGATTAATTGTGAGTGTACAACTAGTACTAAAACCAGACAATCATATTTAATGCCAAGACTTTAAAGATTTTTTTTTGGCCAAATTTGGTTGGGTACTCAATGTATGAAAAGAAAGTTAATTTAAGATTTTTAAATTTGACATTTAATACACCATGTCTCTCTACTCAGTAAGGGTTTTTTGATGGGGATAGTTGCTTGATAATCACTTTGTGTAGGAATGTAGAACAACAAAGTTTGTAAGACTGGTATTAGCATTAAAAATAATTTTCAACTACATAATTTGGAGGGTCTACCTCCATGTATAATACTATGTTCATTCAGAACGATCAACTTATTTGTTTAGTACAACTGGCACTCAAAAATACACAATGATTCAGCTTCAACATGCTTTACCTTCATTTGTGTTTAGCACTACATCCTCATGTTGAGATAAGTTTACATCTATGCTGCCTCTTCCTGTAAAAGCTTCCAATTGACCAGCAGTTGAACCAATTGATATGTTTCCATCCTCAGCACGAATCTCAGTAAAACCTGCAAGGAAGGATCTGATTGGAAAAAACCTGAGGGCACATTTGACAAGACATGGAATGTCTATGCATGAGGATTTACCTCTCTCCTACAGGGATGCTTTGATTTAAGGTGGCTCAAAATACACCAATTCTTTGATTAATCAATGCTGCCACGCATTTCAATCTGTTTCCCTGAGAGTGATATTAAAAACACATCTATCACCATGTTGCCAAATGAACTGAGGTGATCATTGCAACATTACAGCCTATAACTCAGAAACTAGTGTAGTAACCCCCATTAATTTGGAACCAGTGTTCCCCAACATATTTGTGTTCATTCCTTCCCTTCTTCCAACCTCATCCCATCACAAGGGCTCTACATTGTAAGACTGAACTCACCATGCACATCTCCTAATTTAATACAACCACTTTTAGATGCAAATTTGGCCTTTAGGAGATAGGTAGCTCCAACATCAACATCTCCATGCTCTGTTTTTAAATTAAATTCCTTCCCTTGTAATTTTTTCACAGATATCGTCCCTTTCTTCTTAGTTTCTAAAAATCCATGTTCAAACAGCAACTGAGACTGACATATGATGTCACCATAGTTTGATGAAGCTCTCAAGCTTGATCCCTTCAGATTCTTCAAGCAGCATGCACCTTGATTAGTCACCATTTCAAAGGGTCCACCTTCTAAGTCTTTGATATCAATGCTGGCATCACCCCTCACATTAATATCAACACCACATGCAGCAGGAACTTGAAAGTGCAGGGTGATGTTCTTTGTAGGGTACTGGTATTGTTGTTGTTCTGAGCATGTTACCTTCAAAAGGAAATCATGAAATTTAATCATTGGGTCCATTTGATATCCCAATTTGGAAAAATATCAAGAAACAGTTCGTACAAGTACTTATTGACCGAATGGGAGGGCTGGACAAGAAAATATCTGGCTTGATGTCATAAAAGAGGGCCACTTAGTTTGCTGTTTGGCCTGAGCAAACTCAGTCAATAATCACTTCATTATATGAACTCTGCATATTGAGAATTTTGTTTCAACCTAAGTGGGACGTGTCGCACAGGCGCACGTTTGATGGGATAGGATTGGAAAAGCTACCTGCAAGTAAATAGCCTAATGTTGAATAGTGCAACCAAGTGTGCTACATTACAAATGCCTCGCATAAAATGGGAAAATTTATTCGCATTGTATTATTCCTCTTTTAAAACACTTTTCTTAACCTTTTTTACCTCCAAATAGTCCTTGGAATTGGAGCTGACAGGTCTCACGTTGAAATTAATATCCTTCATAAATGAATTCTTTAAATCTGGTGCAAGGTCTCCCTCATCGTCTGTTTCTAAGTAGACATTTCCTTTCACAGACTGACCATCAGTATCTACGTTCTCTATATATTCCATAGGATTCACTGGCTGTATTTTTACAGTGTACGGGCTCTGTACAACAATGAAAGGGGTATCTTTCGAGGAGGCGTCCATCTTCCATGCGAATACATCTTGAGTTTTGCCGCGAATTTGCCGACGATTCAAACAATTTGTCGCTCTGGTTACATATTTAAGCAGCTTTTCGACCCTAAACATCTCGAAAGCCTTTAATAATCCTTCAAATAAAATTATGCAACCCTCTACCTTCGTCGAGGAGATTTGATTAAACCCGCCATATTGGATTTTGAGCCAATTCGGCGGTACCTTAGTTCAGCGCACACACACAGATTTAGTCTTTAGGCTCTACGCGGTTACGTTTATTTCCAAGATGGCGACTACATTTGATCAAGAACTACGAAAGGTAAATGCATCTATATTCTCATTTTTGACCAGAACCTTATAAGTAACATTTTAGGAAAATAGGTGGATTCAAAAGTTCCACAAATCCTTAAAATTATCGTTATGGTGGGGGGCGAATGTTATTATTCCTTAAGTCTCTCGGTTTCTTCTCTCATAAGAGAAAACTTCATATTGAGCATTCATTCCCTATTAACGGTATTTCAATTGATCTGTAGGCATTCCAAGAACTCCAAGAAAAAATGATTGAGACCACGCAACGTGTCAAGGTGGCAGAAGGTCAAATTTTGCAACTTCGAAGGAACATGGCTCATTCCAAATTAACGGACCAAGAATTAGCTTCATTACCCTCTCATACACCCACTTATGAAGCAGTAGGAAGAATGTAAGTTTTATCGTGTCTGTTTTCATGATGTTAGGATTTTAAACAAAATCAAAAAGATTTACTGTATTTGTATTACTTCTCACTGCACGTAGCAGTGTTAAAAAAAGCTGCTGTCTCCATCTTCATGCGCATGTATATGGAAATTGTGAAGACAGGGAATTCTCTCCATTTTAGCATAATTTTAACACTTAAACAGCATTTTGAGCACCATAATAGGTGGTTCTGAATACAATGACCAATGGGTTGTCAAACTCAATGTTTAGTTTCTTAGGGGCTCTTAACATCTTCCTCTGTTATAAACAGAGATTGGGTGCTGTATTTGGCCGTCGTTTTGTCACCCCCATCAGAAAGGGTATGAATGCCTCATCACTTTCAGATGTCACTGTGAATCTCCTTTCTCTCTGGTAGCCTCATGGGTTTCCAAATTTAATTTATTGACAACTTTTGACAGGTTTGTTCTCCAGCCCGTATCAGATATCAGAAAGGACCTTGCTCAGAAACTCCAAAGCAATGAAGAGAAGATCAAAAGCATTGAGGTACAGTACATCTTCGCTGGCATACTTTTTAGTGTCTTCTCAATATGAACTCCTTTCACTCCCAGGAGCAACCAACAAGGAATTTCTCATTACAATATACATACTTTTGTTGAGCAGGAAGGTAATAAGGAAATCAAAAAGGAGACTTTAATTGATTTAACATCAGAATTAAAATCAAAAGAAACATATGGGGTACAGTAGAAAGAATTTATATGTAGATCTCTGGAGTGATCACTAACTAAGTATCACATGTGGGTCTAATCTTTTGTCAGTTCTCCCTATTCCATGTTCTTTAATTATATTCTCCACAAAATCTCAGTTCAATGTGGGAACTGTGGACAAAAAAACACTGCTAGAAATAATATTTATTAACTCTTGACACTCTATCTTCAATAATGATTTTCTCCACACTGCTCTCCATACATTTCCAAAGGTGCTGACCAGGAGAATTTGTTTGATAATCAAAAGCTTCTTAGGTTACTCTGTGATTATCTCCTCTATTCTTGTGACCTTCATTTGTGATTCAGGAGAGGTTTTGTATGGAGATATTAGATGCTAGTTACTCTTATGGGTTGAGGGGTTAAGGGATAGCATTTAATAAACATGAAGAAACTTGAGGCAGGGAGGAGGCATGTATTCCCAGTTGGCTTCAGCAAGTTGTTAAATTTGCAATATTATCTATTTGGATCTTGGCCTTTACACCCTGTACTTAATAATGAAAATTATCTTGTGGTTCTTACTCTGTACAAGAACAGTTGCACTTGCATGACGCTGCTGTGATTTACAAATTTCTGATGGGTCTGACACCCAGCTATTTAAGTTCAAAGCTCACAGCGCACTCAGAAATGCACGAGTACTACACTAGAAATAGAGATCAAGTTAGCCTTCCCAAATGTCACGCAGTGACTGCTCAGCATTCATTCTTCTACAGAGCAGTAGAATCATGGAACAGTCTAACTGGTCAGACAAGAGACTCTCCATCTATTCCATGTTTCAAGAAGAAAGCTGAAGTTGAAATTAGTTGCACTTAGTGTTTAGATAGTCAACAATGCATCTGCTTGTTTGCAAAATTGCAAAACACTATCACTGATGTTAATATATTTTTATGTATATTTTTTACTATTCTTGCCTAGTAAATTAATTCTGAAAAACCCTAATGGGACTGATCAATAAAATGTATTCCATACTGTATCTGTATACTAACCTGTAGTTTTTCCCTATTTCTCTACAGGCTAATAAAGAATATCTTCAAAGAAGTGTCAAAGAACATGAAGATAATATTAGAGAAATGCTTGCTAGCAGACCAAAATAGCCTTGCTAACATCCTGATATTTAATTTTTTATCTCAGACTTACCTTACCTTGAGCTTGAGTCAAGAGGGGTGCCTGGGTTTTTGTCCCTTGCCCTGCCAACTTTTCTTTCTTCTGTGATTTTTTTTATCCAAAATAAGGGGGGGGGCCCTAGGACCCCATGGCCCCTCCCCTAGATCTGCCACTGCCTTAGATTATCTTGCATTACCATTTTTGAGGAAGATATCAGAGTGGAGCAGTGGATGGAAATACAAGTGGTTAAAGGCAGAAAGTTTCTTGGGTTGTATAAAATTACATTTACCAATTTTAGGTTCATGATGATGATGATAAAGGCTGGCTGTTGCTATTAATGGTCTTTGTTACTAGAAAAGGATAGTGCTCCTCAAGTTATGGAAAATTGTCATTCTGCACATGGTGTGTTTTGATTATATTTTGTGTATCTCATATGTATCTCTAAGTATTTTCCTTTTTTACCCTTGCTTACCTGTCAATGTAATTTAAAAACATGATTTTTGCTAGTTGTGTCAGTTTTGTTTTAAGTTCAGTGTCAAAGAAGAAGAATTGAAGTAGTTTGGACCATATCTTCATGTTACTAGTAAATAGAAATATAAGATCCATTTAGGCTGATGATGATGATGATAAAGGCTGGCTGTTGCTATTAATGGTCTTTGCTACTAGAAAAGGATAGTGCTCCTCAAGTTATGGAAAATTGTCATTCTGCACATGGTGTGTTTTGATTGTATTTTGTGTATCTCATATGTATCTCTAAGTCTTTTCCTTCTTTACCCTTGCTTACCTGGTTTGGGGAGAAAGATCTAAACTACCTTAATCCCATTACCCCCTCACGTCAATGACTACAGTTTCCATACTGCTCCTTATACACTTCCTATGCTACTCACAAGGAAAATTTACGTACAATCGCAAGCTTCTTTAGTTTGCATTAATTCTTCTAATCCTAAAGACCTTAATGTTTGATTCAAGAGAAGTGATCCTGTGGGGAAAATTAGATCCCAGTTAATGTTTTCATTAAGTGGAGGACTGACAGTTTCTTTCGTTACAAAATTGGAATCTGACCACTAAATTTATTACAGTTAGCTTATAGAAGGGGCTGAAGTGATAAAATTGGATTACTTTTTCATGAGCAAAATAAGGTTTGAGCTAATATCACTATGAATCCCTCTCAATGGAATGGGAGTGGAACTGCTTTAAGACAAAATGGTGCAAAAGGAATTGTTTTCTCCCCACCCACTTCCCCCAGAGCTCTCCCCCCTCCTTGCACACTCCTCTTCTCAACCCTAAGACCTTTGCAGGCAGAGAGGAGGGTGGTAATCTGAGTGAAAAGGTCTCAATTGTACTAGAAACTAAACTATGCTAGCCCCCTTTGAAGTTCCCATGCTCGCAATTTACGTTCAATTCATTTCATTTATAAGAGTTCGCAAAACATTTTAGACTTAACCGCACCCTGTGTCCATTTTCCGCAGGAAAAACGATCTATATTTTTTTGTTGCATAATTTTGTTGTACAAATTGTTCCATTTAAATAAGAGGACTAAAAAAAATTCGAGGGGAAAAAAAGATATGGCTAAAACCGTGCTCAAAGCCCGTCACTCGATGATGTAAATTATAACCTCGAAATTAAAACTCAGGGGGAACATTTTGAGTCGATTTCGTTTAAAATTGCGTAATTTTTTTACAAATTATATATTGTTCCATACGCTCGTGACTTTCTATCTATTAAGGTTTTTTTTCGTGATTGACAAATCGGACTCCCGCTTCGTGGTCGTCCGATTTTGTTAATCACTCGTATGATTACAGACCGAATTGGACGACACGAAGTCCTGTTAATCAATCAGTCCAATTAATCAAAACAATGACAAAATTTGAGAAAGAAACTAGACATCGGTTATACGTTTTCATGGAAAAATCCATCAGTTAACTCAGCGAAATGCGAGGCAACAGCGTGCGCACATGACGCGATCTGTCCACTTAGATAAGCATGACGTTTTAACTGTCCCTTTAACTGGCCTATTACACTCCAAGCATGACTTTACAACTTTACAAGCATGACGCGTACACTGTCCTATTAGTGCTCAAATCGGGCTGGTGATAACCAATCACGTTCGAGAATTTTGTTATAGTTTTGATTAGTGCCAGAACAGGCATGAGTGGGGTAAGTTTTGCTCATCATATTTCTTAAACAAGCACGGTGACCTATCTTTTAAATTGTATTTTTTCGAAACAGACATTGGTAGGGGTCATTTAGGAAAAGTTTTTAAAAACATTTCGGTAGCTTTTTTTTTTCTGAGGAATCACCTTAAAAAAATATAAAAATACAATGAGAAAAAATGCTAATATAGAAAAATCCGGCAAAATGAGCCTTCTCTTATAAACCCGCGATGGACCGCGTTCCTCTCCCCTCCCCTGACAAATACTACCAGTGGATGCTGAGTAACCGAGCCGTTAAGAAAGTGTCTTCAAGTAACTGCAGTGGAAACTCAAGTTCAAATATTTGTTTTCGAACATCTTGTATTTTGGAATACGGTGTAATCTTGTGTGATCTTCAGAAAAATCACAGAAAGCTGGGAAAAGCACAGATTTGATGTCATGGAGAAATCAATCTTTTGTTAACTTTTCTCTCGATCGAATTCAAACATCTGTACACAATTCACTGCTACCAAGTTTATCTCGCTTCGATCTTCTGGCAATTTTTTTTTTTACGATTTAGTGGCTTTCAAAGCTTACATTCATCAAGGAAAGCACAGTTTGAGTAATGTATACTTCTGTCGTGTCGAAGGAAACTAACTTTGGTGAGTATCAACAATCATAGTGTCACTTGCTAAACATCTTCTTAGTAACACCGAAGAAACTCGCAAATGCGGCCAGTGTTTTTACCACTGGACATTAGTTGTTAATGATATGACAGTAAAGCAAAGCGGTGATCTTTTTCATTTCCTTCTCAAACTTTTTGAATTGTTTCGAGAATTGTGTGGTCGACTTTCTGTAAAATGTATGAATTTGCTTACTCTTTACCGAATATGTTTTCGTTCAATCGTGTAAACGAAACTATGTCATTTAATCGATCGGCGCCAATGGGCAAATATAGAAGCTTTAATTGGGCAGATTTCATATTTGTGTTTGTGATCACTGAAGCAAGGAATGTTCCATGTTTTTGAAATTTCAATACAGAAAATGGAAATTTAAATGCCAGTGATATTTTTCGTGCGTTGATTTCCTCTGAGATTTAGCTTAAAATTTTACGTAGAGTACGTTTATTTTTTTACCCCGTTTACTTATAATCGGTGGTGTTAACATGGTCGAGGAGGAAACGTAGTCCAGCTTTTAACAATATACACAATATACACAATACTCCTGAAAATGTTCGATGCTGTTTGTGACAAAGCAGAGAAAAAGCAAACAGTAGGAAAAAGAAGGTATTGACTGGTCTAACCGTTTGTCTGTATGGGAAAAAACTGTGCCCTTGGTCTTGAGTTCAGCCCTTGGCCAAGCTCAATGATCCCCTCTCAGTAAATAACGCAGGTTTAGTGGATTCAGCTGTTTGAGGAATAATCAGTTTACTCCTGTATGTACTAACTAGTCCTATCCATTATTCAAAAAAGCCAGAACAGTCCTTTACAAAGCCATGTACCAGGTTTTCTTTAACCCTTTTACTTCCCTGATTGAGTGAAACAGAATTTATCAGTGTAATGCCAACACAACATCAAGTTGACAAGAATAAACTGTTAATAGGGGATTTTTAATTGATCCAATACTAAATTCTCCAAAGGAACACCACCACAATTATGTAGCAGACAATAAGGAGAATTGGTAATAAGATCCTGGGAGCAAAAGGGTTGAGAAATGTAGCAACAGTAGAGAATATTATGCAGTTGCTTTACTTTATTCTTTATTTTTATAACAAAAATCCTGGTGAAGAAAAAAGGTACCCTGAGAATGTCTTTTTGGCTTAGTAACACAATGCAATGACATGACAAGGGTCGATTTTCAAATCCCTCAGTTTAGAGCCTAGGACACAAATTTCTCTGCCACCATGATTCCTACTACTGAATGCATGCATACAACCCTTCAACACCCAGATATTAATGACATGTACCTTCTCCTTATAACATCCATACATTGTTTAGCAAACAGGTAATGAGAATACTAAAACGTATCAGGTAGAAGGTGCTATCTTGATCTAACACCAATTCTCGTTACTAATTTATGATGAAATTTGTAGCAGCTTGAGAGCAGAATTAACTATTACAATTTGAGGGTGTAAGGGTTGATAATATTCACTAAAATTTGTTTTTTTTCTCCCAGAAACAGAACAAAGTCCCCAACCAGAGGAGAAAATAGTGATTCCTCCCTACAGGAGTCCAGAATGTCACAACAAATCTTTCCAAGCAATGAACACCCTGCGTGAACAAAACCAGTTGTGTGATGTTTTGTTGAAAGCGGCAGGAAGTGAGATTCCAGCACACAGGGTTGTCCTCGCATCATCTAGTCCTTATTTTTTTGCAATGTTCACTGGGGAGCTGTCAGAAAGTCGACAAACTGTGGTAACCATGCGTGAAATTGATAGCCGTGCACTTGAACTTTTAGTGCAATATGTGTACACAGCTGAGATCGAAGTCACAGAGGATAATGTTCAGGTAATGAATTCAATGGCTTTAATGCTTTTTTTAACCACTGTGTAAGCTGTGTCTCATAGGTACTTACAGTAGGTGCATGTACCTTTGCTCTGACAAAGGGGAAATGCTCGAAATGTCAGCTCTGAAACTCTTTGGCCAATTATACTTACCCTGTTATACTCTCCCAACAATGCAGCACCATGGTTTCTTTTATTAGGGACTTACTCCTTTACTCATAGATGTGTCTTCAATTGTGTAATAAGCTGCATCACACTTGAATTTTAATTGTTTAACTACTTATGATCTGTTGGAGCACAGAACAATATTTTGCTCTTTTTATCATGTACAATAAATCTATTGAACTGAGGACAGACACAAAGATGATGTTACCGTGAAAAACATTTTTCTCTTTTTGTTTAGTAAAATAAATCTATGGAAGGACAGATGCAAAGATGATGTCACCTTGAACAACATTTTGCTTTTCATTGTCATGTAAAATAAATCTATCAGCTGACAGAGGCACAGATGATGTCACCATGAACAACATTTTGCTTTTCAATTCATGTGAAATAAATCTATCAGCTGACAGAGACACAGATGATGTCACCTTGAACAACATTTTGCTTTTCATTGTCATGTAAAATAAATCTATTGGCTGACAGAGACACAGATGATTTCACCATGAACAACATTTTGCTTTTTGTTGTCATGTAAAATAAATCCATCATTGGATAATATGCAGTACTTTCATCTAATATTTTGTAGCGACTTCTATTTTAATTCTCCAGGAATATATATTTTTTTGCATTATATGAATAATAAATGTCCATTTTTTTGTGTTTCTGACATAGGTAAACCTCATCAACATTCCTTTCTCAACTTAGCAAAGGGATACATTGTTGTATGTTGGTGACATAGAATACCTCTGCCTAAAGTGGTGTTTACAAAGAGGACGGGCATCCTGTATCATAATCTTTTTTGGAAACATTGTGTTGAAAATGCACTTAAAAATTGTGTGTACAAGTCTTGTAATTTTTTTTTTCATGTTTTTTTTAGGTTTTGCTTCCTGCTGCTAATCTTCTTCAACTAACAGATGTCCGTGATGCATGCTGTGAATTTCTGAAGGCCCAACTCCACTCCACAAACTGTTTAGGAATCAGAGCTTTTGCTGACATGCATTCCTGCAGTGATTTAATGATTGCTGCCCACTCATTTGCAGAGAAACATTTTAGTGAGGTTGTTCAGGCTGATGAATTTCTTGCTCTGCCAACCATTCAAGTAGAAGAACTTGTCTGCAGTGACCAGCTTACAGTTCCCTCCGAGGAGAAGGTATCATACCCCCAAAAAACTTTAATTTAATTCCTCAACCATTGACACCATAACAACAGTATGCATGTTCTCCTTACTGTTCTCTGTGCATATCTTGTGGTACATTGTATGAATGAGGGAAATTTGTTTAACAATCAAGAGCTTCTTTAGTAGGTGATCATTTCCTTTATCCTCATGATCTTAATGTTTGATTCAGAGGTGATAAGGTAAAAATGAATAAGATACTTTTCCCTCTTTGGAGTTAAAGGGTAAAGGTCATACACACATGCAAATGAATCCCTTAACTCCCTGGTTTCTGCAGAAGGTGACAAGGAGAATTACTAATCCTTTTAAATAAGAGACTATTTCATTGCATGATCCCTCTCCTCCCCTCTGCTCTCTGCCTCTCCCCCTTTACAAACAGTATTTGAAGTCTCCCTGACTGTGTGAAGGCACCCATTTGTACTCCTGGGTGAGAAGAGACCCCCTTACCCTATGACCCCAAAGAGTGACATGCATCTAATTTCTCCTCACAATATTATCCCTGGATCACACATTAGGGTCACAAGAATAAAGGAAAGAAGCTCAACTGAAGAAGCTCTTGATAGTTTGACAAATCCTCCTTGTCAGCACCTTGTATGGTGAACAGTATGGAGAATATAGATAATGATGCTATGTAAGGCTAAAAGTGTCCAGAGTGCAGTACATGCACCACAGGAAATGTATAGAGAACAATATGGAGACCTTGAAAACTGATGTTAGGTCGTAAAGGGGTTAAGCATTTAAGTTTAGATTAGTATTTCTTGTAGTCAAAATTGATACCCTGAATAATCATCACAAATTGTTTTTTTTTAACGTACATGTTTTATATACATATACATGTCCCCCAATAGCTGTAGTGTATTGATACTTGAATAAAATAAAGTTCATTGTTATTATTATTAATATAGCTTGTCATTGCATAAGAAACAAAACAAAAAACAAAACCAAAATAAACGAAAAAAAAAAGATAAACTTCACACGAACTTATCAGTCTTAGGGAGAAAGTGGAAAATTATGTATCCCTTTGGTCCTTTCAGTTGTTTCAGAGCATGATGGCTTAAACGTATGTGTTTGTGTTGTACTGTAGGTATTCGAAGCTGTGGTTACTTGGGTGAATTACGACCCTGAACATAGACAGGAGTGCCTGGCACAACTCATGGAGCACGTGCGACTCCCTCTGCTGTCACGTGAATACCTCGTGAGTCGCGTGGAGACGGAAACACTGGTCAAAAACAATAACATGTGCAAAGATTTTCTTATCGAAGCTATGAAATATCACCTGCTCAGTAATGAACAGCGGTCATCTGTACAGTCACCTAGAACTCGTCCCAGGACACCGATTGGATTGCCTAAAGTGATGTACGTCGTCGGAGGCCAGGCGCCCAAGGCTATACGAAGGTAAGAAAGTGAGCAGGAGTCCGTTTTATGCCGATTTAGTATATCGAGAATTTCTTATTTTTTCACATGTGTACAAGGAGTATTATTTACTGTTATGCAAGTGGAGCTCTAGTTATTTAACGCTTTTTTTTCCATTTTCATCTTAACAAACATAATTATAAGCATACAAACAAAGCACTTTTTATTGAATTAAGCATGTTTAAGGCTTAGTCTTGACATGTGAAGTGAATTTATCCTCGCTTCCCCGTAAGCTGTCGGTTCCTTTTTTTTATTCAATTTTGTCGAACATAATAGTTCCGTAACATGGAAAAATAAAGCGGCTCGAGTTGACAATACTTGTTTTGTTTTACTGTCAGTGTGGAATGTTACGATTTCAAAGGAGAGAACTGGTACGCTGTGGCAGAGATGAACTCTCGTCGGTGCCGTGCTGGAGTAGCCGTGCTAGACGGGCTCGTTTATGCAGTTGGCGGCTTCAACGGTTCACTGCGCGTTCGCACAGTCGACTGCTACGATCCTGGGAAAGACCAATGGCGTCCTGTGGCTTCCATGGAGGCGCGGCGCAGCACACTTGGTGCGGCAGTAATGAATGGACTGTTGTACGCCATAGGAGGATTTGACGGTACAACGGGACTCAACACTTGCGAAGTGTATGACCCCAAGATAAACGAATGGCGATCTATTTGTCCGATGAGCACCCGAAGAAGCAGCGTCGGCGTAGGCGTCCTCAACGGTCTGCTTTACGCCGTCGGCGGGTACGACGGCGCGTCGAGACATTGCTTGAGCTCAGTTGAGTGTTACAATCCAAACTCAAACGAATGGGGTCTAATGGCCGAAATGAGCACGCGGAGGAGTGGAGCGGGAGTGGGTGTGGCCGATGGGCTCTTGTACGCCATAGGCGGACACGACGGGCCGCACGTGCGGAAAAGCGTGGAATGTTTTAATCCGGAGCAGAACCAATGGCGATCGGTAAGCGACATGAGCATGTGTCGTAGGAACGCTGGTGTGGCCTCGGTTAATGGCTTGCTTTTTGTTGTCGGAGGCGACGACGGCTCCAGTAATCTGTTTTCTGTTGAAGTTTACAACCCCCGGACAGACCAGTGGGGCTTACTGTCAACCTTCATGACGATAGGCCGCAGTTATGCGGGAGTCGCCGTGATTGACAGGCCTAATACCTAAGGCATTATGAGACTCCGAGTGTTTTAGATTTGAAATGTTTGTTTTAATTCATTCCCGGGAAAGTTGCGCTAGCTGAGTGAGTCCTGTCGTGAACAAGGATGAGGTTGTTGTTCTTTGCGTTCCTGGATGTAGGGTGGTGCATATTTCGGAGAGCCATTGGTTAAGGGCCGTTTCTTAGTTTCGAAGAAAAAAAAAGATTTTATCGTATGATATTTAATAAGAAAGAACAAGAAAGTGAGCTAGGACGAGATCATGCATACTTTTGGCCGTTGTGTTTGGCAATTTTATAAATTTTATTTAACTGAGCTGTCTTACTGAATACTGTAATATAAAATACTAAAGAAAAAATAGGGCGTAATCATGCATACTTTTGGCCGTTGTGTTTGGCAATTTTATAAATTTTATTTAACTGAACTGTCTCACTAAATACTGTAATGTAAAATACTAAAGAAAAAATAAAACGATAATATTTCGCAAAGGCGTAGTTACATAAGGGGTAAAAGGGTAAGCTTTATTTTACGAGGGTGACCCAATCAGCCTTAAGGCTGGTATCCAGAGGGGCCCTGGATTAAAAAGTACAATAATTAAACAATAAATAATAATTTAAAATACGGGATGTGATAATTTAAAAATACAAAATTTAAAAAATCGTGAACATTTATCAAAAATCTAAAGAAAGAAAGTGACTCCGCGTTCTGAATGTAACGAGGCAACAAATTAAAAAGGGCTGAGCCCGAATATCTAAAAGTAAATTTCCCAAGGCTTAGCTTCGGTTGGGCAGGTGCAAATCGGTTCTTCTGCGAGTGTTATGGCCATATACATTGTAGTTTCTAATAAAATAGTTATATCAGTAATGAAGTACTAGCTTACTTAAGCATTTATAAACTAAAACACATTTGTGTCTTTTCCGTTTCATTTCTACCTCAGCCACCCTAGAACACTTAAAGTGTCTTTAGAGGAGTCACGCCAATCGATGTGGGTAGCACGATTTTGTAACTGTTGAAGGGTTTTACTGAAGGTGACTGACAGCTCACCCCATGTAGTGTCGGTATAACACAGGATTGGCTCGATAAGGGTATTAGAGACACACCTCGCTGCGTTAAGAGTAAGGCAAGGCTGGTATCCAGAGGGGCCAGTTAAACAGTCGAATAGAAATTCCATATCTACGCGCGCCCATGTATTCTTCTCTATGTATCTCGCACCAATCATATCACAGCTTTCTTGTAAATGATGTCATGGAAGCAGGTGGCTGTGCACAAAGAATGACATAAACCATAAAATTTGTAATGGTTTGTGGCCTCAACGAGAGCCTCGTCGATTAAGGTCGAGATTTATCGGGGAATACAAGGTTCGCATGTAACCGTAATGTCTCATTTTTTTAAGTTAAAACGTGTTTTTCCCCGCTCCTTTACTCACAACTAACACGCCAAACAACTTACATTCCATCACGCACCGATGCATTTTTTTTGTGCTAAGAAGTATTTAGACAATAGACTACAAAATACCTGTGTGAATTCAAATAAATTAGTTTTTTTTCCTTCTCTTAAGGTGAAGTAATGCGATATTTTGGTCCGTTTGAAAGCTACAGTCTCCCGTCTCAGCCCGCTTAGGCAAAACAATATGAAGAATGCGTACTCCACTTTAAGAGAACAGATAAAAACTATAAACTTGACCCGTTAATATCAGCATACACGCCTTCGATATTCTCAACCTTTGATAAAAATACTGATGTAATCATGAGGGATAATGTTATGCTAACTAAAGTCGATTTTAACTTACAAAAATATTTAGCCAGCAAACGTCATGCTGCTCGTAAATTTAACATCCCCAACCCCCACGCAATAACTTTTCGCGACCTATGTTTGTAGTTTTAATGATGCCCATCACTGAAGGGGAATATGGGGATACCCAATTCATTTAGTAGATTTAATACCAAAAGTGGATATATTTACGCATAATCAGACAAAAAATTTTAACAGGTGGGAAATCCGGAGGAAGAGAAAAGTGACTCAGAGTTAAATTCTCAAGCTGACAGACGTAATCCTGATCACGTTGTACCAATAGATTAGAAAATCAAATCAGTTGAAGTAAGCTTAAAGAGAGAAGAGAAGAACAAAATGGCATATCATTACACATTTACAATAGCACCATGACCCTTTTTAACTGTGCTCTCTAAGGGAAATGTATTTATTATTAAATAGATAAGAAACTCCTTTATAGAAACAATTGTAATAGTTCCCTGAAAGAATAAACTATTTAAAGTTTAAATTTGGTGGTAGAGGAGCTATCATGTTGCTCTCTCGGTCAATTGTACCTCCCATTCAGGAGCATGTGTTTGAATAAGTTCTTGATTCTTGGAATGTAATTGTTCAACTGTTTTGTCTTTCTCAGTAACTAGTCTTTACATTTCTTCAAACAACGTTTTGATTTCCATGTCTAAATTGTCGTGTTTCCTTTTCCAGTCCTCAATTTCATCCCTTAGGAAGGAAATTTCCTCTCTAACCTCTACAACAGATATTGTCTGCCGTTCAAAGATATGAAATTTATTTGACTTACTTTTCAGGGCTTCTCTTTTTCTGCCCTTTGGTGTCTTTGTGTATTCACCTTTGACATCTTCAGCTAGTTTGCGAAGAGATTGATGGATCTTTTTCCTGACTGCTGGGTCACATTACGACGAAAAAGTTTTTAGTGAGCTTAAAGTTCCCGGTAGATAAGCTATCTAGTCGTGGCTGGCCTCTCGTTCTTTACGTTGTTTATTCACAGGCAGAAAGACGTCGACAAATTCTTCCAACTTTTGAGATAACAATCAAGTTACGGCACATAAGCTTGTTTTCATTAAAAATACTCCAGAAATCAAACTGTAGGGCGAAATAATCTTAAAAGTGTTCTTTCATATGTGCCTAGGACAATTCTTACTGTTTACGCCGAAAAAAAACAGCAAGCACTGCTCCAGTGATCTTTTCACAAAACTAGTCAACTTAAATCCGAAGGGAAAAACAATGGCGGGCAAACAAATCAGGCGCGGCTACTTAGTTTGAGACGAGTTTACCGCTTCCTGTACAGCTTTGCAGTCACAATAGTTGCACATTCTATTTAATTGTACCTCCCATTAGCTCATCAAAGCTGGAAGCGAGAACTTTGCCGAAAATGAATTTCTATTATGTTCAAGGTAAACTAATTAATTTCAAATTTATAAGATATTTTGTCATCTGATATCCGGTACCTGCCTCTAAATATTCCATGGTATGATAAACTTAAAAAAACAAAACAAAACAAATGGCGTAAAATTTATGTAATTAAAACTGTCAGTTTGCCAGGATTTTTTTAAACCAAAACATTGTCTTCTTGAACGTGACCAATCTTTCTTTATTTCAATTAATGACGTGTTTCAGCCTTTAAAAACAGTGAAAAAAAAATAGACTTATCCCCCGGCTTGGGACTCAAAAATCGTTTCTAGAACAGTGCTAGGTTTAGTATTGAGCTTAATTTACCTACTTTATGTACACGAACAGTGGGTTTGTTTGTGTTGAGTACGAAGACAAGTTAAGCCAATTGTTTTTTGAATATCAGAAAGTATACTCACGAAAAATTAAATCAAAACTTAAAACCTTTGAGACCAATAAAGGGAGAAATTTTTCGGGTTTACGGAAAAACAACTCAACGAATAAGTGCTGTCTGATTCAACATGCATTTGTGATCAGCTGAGATTTATTCAAAACTCAAACGTAATGCAAAGTCTTGGATAAATATACAAAAAAAAAGGTCACTGAATGTCATTTTAAGACTGAATGTTGACATATTGTCTTTTGGGTTAAAATAATTTTCCATGTAACTCGCAAATTTTATTCCACATGTCGACATTCCCTCCCCCCCTTCGAACAATGCGTCGTTACCCTCTTCCAAATTGCTTACATTAGGAATGCAGTAGATTTAAAACAGTAAGAAAATGTTTGACTGTTTTCGTCGCCAATCCGGCAAACTTTCACTTAATCAAGGACATCATCTTTGAGTAAGTTTGAATATAAAAGAGGCCTTACTACTAATAACATTTCGCAAGATCTTCGTCTGTTCACGAAGATCACCTGGAAATTTCCATTCCAATTCGTTGCAACTGTGACCTCTGCAACGACAACTGCAACCTCTCACCCTACAAATTGAAATTTGTAGGGTGAGAGGATTTGTTAATAAGTACATTATCATAATCGTTTTTCCAATTTCCAATTTCAACAAAGTTTACTCAAACCCATACTCAGTGACCGAAATTTGACCCCATCATGACATTCTTTCTCTCTCTCTCTCTCCCTCTTAAATGTTTCAGTGTACTTTAGAAACAATAAGACTGTAAACAAAACTTCGAGATTTTTCTCGTTTTCTTTAATTATGCATAGACATTTGTTTTGGGGGGGAAACACTTTTCGTTTCGTCGAGTTCTGAAGAAAGAAGTCAGAATGGCAGAATTTGGCAAAAAGATTTTTCCTTGCTTTAATTATGTCGTTTTCGTACTCAACGGGGACCTCTGCGAAGGTATGAGTTGTTACCTCAGGTAAGCAGTTCTGTGTAACACGAGTCGCGGCTTAGCAGGTTTTATTTAGTTTAGGATAAAAGAGACAGAGTTGACCAAAGACATAAGTTAGGGTGAGATCAAGCTATAATGACCTGAGGTAAAAAGTTTCAATGTTGATTAGATGGTATGGCAGCAAAGAAGTAAGAAATTTTCATTTCTTTGCAGGTCAAAATAATTAAGTCGAACTGATATGAAAGGAATCG